TTGAAATTATGAACTACAGGCAGTTTCAAATCATAATACACAATGAATTATAAAGTTTTTTGAGACAATAACCACAGAAATTTTCTTGAGAGAAAGAGGTAGAGGGAAGGTTAATGTTTCTGAGAAACGGAGTGATTGAAATAAAAGAAAAAAATGTTAATATCTCTAAACAAATCCACTTTGTCTGTTCTTTACAGCAAACAAATATACCTTAAAATAGGGATAAACTAACTGAATCATCACTTGATTTTATTACAATTTCTCACAAGTGTCCTTCAATAAGTCCGTTTTTATTAACTGTTCATTTCAGGTTTGAAAAAAAACATGTTATAACTAACAATGTCCAAAGGAGTAATACAGCAATTTTAATAATAAATCAAGCTAGTCTACCATATGTAGATAAATCTTTCTGTTATGAGATGGACTACCATTCTTTAGCTGATATAACTCTTATATTTACCCTATTTGTTTTTCTCACCTAACAAAGCTCCTGTCACAGATATTCCAGTCATCCAACTCATGACAACTCTACAGCGCAGAGACAAAATTACCTCATAGTGTTTCCTAGGCTGTAGTCTTTTCTGCAGGAAGCTCTGGTGGTATAGCCTGTAGCAAGGTGCACTGGTAACCGAAAGGATGTGTCTCCAGTAGACTGTTCCTAGGATGAAAAATGGGCAGTGCCCATCTATAAAGATTTATAGCCCCAGAAACCTGATGAAAAGCCGCTACAAACTAACTGGACAGAAAGAAGTTTGAGTGTTTATTTTCAGGTCTTTTCTCCTGCAGAATGGCTTCAAACTGCCAACATTTGCTTAGTAGCCAAGTCTTTAACTATTAACTAGGGCTTCTTCTGCAAGGAAGCTACCGGGAGAGCTAAATTCTCTATTCTATTCCGTTAATAAAATTACCATAACAACCAAATCAAAGTCCAATGGCATTGAGTTGATTCTGACTCCTAGTGACTATATGTGGTTTCTGAGGCTGTTTTATATAGGAAGAGACTATCCATCTTTTTCCTATAGAGCAGGTAGTGAATTTTGAAATGTAAAGCTTTTAGTACCAATACAATACATTACACACTATACCACCATCATTCCTGATGCAACAGAAATCTACAAAAATTCTATTGTACAGGTCTTCAGATTCCACATATTTTATATTGTTCTAACACTGTGTATCAAATTTTTTTTTTTTTTAAAAAGCAAATACACTGTCTTAAATGTCAGTGCTAAAAAAGATAATTTGGTTTGTTTTAAATGTATTCTTCTTAAAGTATTATAAACAAAATAAATAGATTAATTCACACTACTGTTCTTGTGTGCCATCAAGTTGGAACCAAATCACAGCTGACCTTCCAGTAGGTTTTCAGAGGCAATAAATAGCACCAGAGGAGAATGTTCATCTTTCTCCCGTGGAGTAGATGGTGGATTTGATATATGTGCCTTCAGGATTGCAGTGCAGTTTCTTTCTTACCACTAGGCCACAAGTTGATTTTCTTTTGAAGTTTACATCAAATTAAGATAAAACATGTAAATTTCCTGATTGCATGAATTCATATATTTTACCATCACTTGTTTTTTCTGCACTTGCTACAAGGGTACAATATGAAGTGTAATGTTGTTGTTAGGTGCTGTCGAGTATGACCCATAGCAACCCTATGAACAAAAGATCTGAATCCTGCTCTATGCTGCACAATCCTCACACTTCCTGACACACAGAACTCTATTGATAGTAAAATTCTTCTACTTCTACATTGTTGTTATTATGCTCCATAAAGTCAGAACTAACCTATATAGAGCTGACCCTGACCATCTTTCTCCTGAGGAGCAGTGGGTGACCCCGAATTGCATGCCTTCTGGGTTGTAGTGTAGCTTCTTGCCAACTAGCCACCAGAGCCCCGGCAACATTTCTGCATACATATTAACAAATTAACAATTAATACAGATTAACAAAAAGTAACTTCAATTTTTTTAAAATTTTGTCATTAAATAGGATATGAATTTCATGTAAAATGAAACAATGTTTCAACACAAAATGAAATATTAATAAAATATCTGTCTTTACAATGAATAGAAAAATCTGGTATCTTGCCAATTCACTCCTCCCTCCAACAAAGGTTGACAGTTGCTTACTGTGAAAGAGTAAAAGTTTTTATATTCTAAATATAAAGATAACTAAAGTTGCTTTAAAAACTGAAGTGTCCCTAAAAGAAAGTTCCCTAGGATAAGAAATAAATTTAAAACTATGAAAGAAAAGCCATTATTTAAGCTATGGAGTATCAGGGTAGCGTAAACATTACATATTTGACTGCTAATTGAAAGACGGTAGTTTGAATCTCTGCAGAGGTACCCTGAAGAAAAAAGGTCTAGTTATCTTCCACACAATTAGCCAATTAAAACCGTACTGGGCAGTTGCACACAGGGAATTTCATGAATCACAGCTGACCTGGAGTTGACTCAATGGCCTTATTTTAAAATACAAGTCATAATGAATGGTTTATAAGATCACACCTAAATCAAACATTCATGCTGAAATCCCTGGTTATACCATTCATAGCAATAAAAATTTTCTTACCTCCCTTTAGCTTCCATTTCTTCAGCTACAAAATAGATGATTATGTTCAATTATACAGCACAGTTATCAACAGAATTAAGCCCAACAAAGAGCTCAGTAAGGTGAATATCATGATCATCAAAATAAACTGACTAAACTTGCTAAAGTTGTCATTTTCCCTTTTGTTAAAAAATAATCAGAACAAATGAAAATATAAGGTTTATGCTGAGCTAAAAAATAAGTAGCTAAAGTAGGCTCATTTCAATTGCAAAATGAAACAAATCCTTTGAATTAGCTCAAAACAATGTTTCAAGATTTACTGAACAATCTCCAAACTAGAATAACATGAAGGAAAACATACCCTGTTCCCCAAAATTGGAGATTTCACACAGCGTATCTCTCCCCCCCTTAACAGCAACTTGGAGTTAAAACGGTAACTAAAATCTAACTGCTAATAATGTGGTCCTTTAACTTTTTGTAACTATAAGGCCTCTTGAAATTAAAATTAAGGAAACACACAATCTTGTTCATTAAACCAAGGTTTGTTATTGACAAGTCTTAGGTGGCGTAATTCAATGTGATCTCTGCTAACTCATAAAGGTTGTAAATCTCTGGTGACTGGAATCTACCACCTGCTCTGCAGAAGGAGAATGGACTGTCTTTTCCCCATTAGGATTTACATCCATGGAAACCTGATGGTCTCCATCAGTCAGAAGCAAGGGGGGAAGAAGGGCAGTGAGTTTGAGTTTCTAGCCATAAAGGACAAATCCCAATGGAATAGACTAGTTTCTGGAGCAGTCTGTGTCATACCTTTAGTTTAATGATTAATTTTTTTATTTCAGGTTAATTTTTATTCCTTTAAAATCAGGTAAATTGTCCATTATTAATTTTTCACCTTCTTGGCAGGGTAATACTGGTACTATTTTTGTTGTTCATTTCACTATAAAGGATTCTATTTAAGAAAGGAGTAGGGAAAAGGAAGAGGATGTTAAAGAAGCTATGCTGCAATCAAAGGCATGAGGTTCAAACCCACACATTTCTTCCTGTGTGATTTACTTACTGCCTCTGAAGGGCTAGCTATGGGTTGGTTCCAAATCAGTGGCACACAACAAGGAAAAAGAACGTTAAAGACACAATTTTACAGTTGGATAAGAAGCTTGCTCATGCAAAATAGTGTGAGGCATGATTTTTCAGAGGACAATCACCCTAAATTTCAAAAATTCTACCAACTCCCATCATTCTCAATGAGGATTAGAATATGTCCCGGTACTGTAAGTTTTCAGATTCTGGTCCATTTCTATGTCTTTAAACTGAATTTGTATGTAAGAATAATTAGTGTCAGTTCTTATCTAACCTCATTAAGGCAAATGCTTTTCTTAGCATACTTTACCTATACTTTTTCTATGCATTAAAAACTGGTGTAGAAACATTTCCAGATATAATAAAACATCTTCAACATAATTTGATGTGCATCTCTAAGTGGCATCCATTTTTTACTACAAATTATTATAACTAAAATTTTAGAACTATTTAATAGGTTTGGTTCATGTAACTACAGGGTGCATGTAAATTTGTAGCCCAGGGCCTTGGGATATGCATTTTAAAACAAAATCATTTCACATAAAGTTAAGTGTGGATGAACTCTAGAACTAAATGAGTCTTCAATGATAATGTTTTTAATGAATTAACATACACATTTCAAAGAGTCTTTTAAGCCTCAGGAAACATCAACTTTTATAATACAATTTTAATCTTTTCCCCTTCTGATCTGCAGTCTCTTACCCTTACCAGGAGCTCAAGATTTGGGGGAAAAAATTACTTTAACTTACTTACTTAAAAAATCTTGTAAGGTAGGAATGATTATCCCTAAATTAATTAAAGAGGTCAACTTTAAAAGTTGCCGAAGATACTGCCTGAAGTTGCCTAGCTTATAAACTACAAGGTCTCTTGTAATTCGAACTCGCATCTTCAGGGCTCCAATGTCTATAATGTTCATGCCTGTGCTTCCATTTATCTTCCTAAACCATATAGTTGAGAGCACTTTTATTAAGTCCCAAGATTTCTCCTCTCTTACACTGTTGACATGCCATCTTTTTAATATTCAATCCTGTCCTGAGATTAAAAAAAATTAACACAAGAAGAGGGGAAGGTGGACAATTTAGAAATCAAAGAATAGGCCCGAAGAACAAGAAATCTATTTTACTGCCTACGTCTAAAAGTCTAGCGCCACCAAGGCAAATGACAAACACAGGCTCAGATCCAGAAAGGCTGCAGACCGCGCCCAGGTCTCAAGTCAAGGCCCTGGTTCAGGCGAGGAGAGGGACAACAACAAGGTTAATCCTTTCTGAACCAACTCCTCACAGCAGGAGCATAGAGAACACTGGTGCCGCGATATAAGGGGACACTATGGATCTAGGGTACAGCCCGCTTAGGTCCGTTAAACGCACTTACTTGAGCGAATTCCAGGACACAGGGCCGGAACCCGCAACCGGAAGGCCTCCTCTGTCCTCCAGCTCCTGGCGCTAACAGTGACGACATCTGGCCAGCGCCGCACATAGCGAAAGCCCAGCGCCAGGCCACCAGCTCAGCACGCGCTGGAGGGGCGGGGCCGCGCAGCGGCTCATCCTTTAAGCGTCAGGGGCTGGGAGCCACCTTCTACAACCTGAGGTTTGACCATGTCGCGCCTGAAGCGATCTTCGGAGCGGGATTCTCGTGCTGGTTTCCGAACTGAGGGGAGAGACTGCACTACCTCAGTCCCCCAGGGACTATTAAAGGCGGCCAGGAAGAGCGGCCAGTTAAACCTGTCGGGTAGGAACCTCAGTGAAGGTAAGAAACGGCGGTATGATCTGATTCTTCCTGTTGAAAGCCGTTGCCCTCCCCAGCCTCCCTTTCCTCTGGTCACTTTTGACACCGGCTCCTAGTCAGGACCCTTTGTCTTTTAACACTTTAGAGAAGTTGCTGACTGCAGATTTTTCCTAATGCAACACGTCTTTTTATTTTTTAAAATTTTATTTTATTGTAATTTAAAATCAAGTTTACACAAAAGCTGGATTCCCATTCATTCATTGTTGTATATTTTCTTTCCTCCCCCGCCCCAGTTAACTTTTTGCATTTATAGTTTCCCCCCCTTTTTTGTTGCACATTTCCCCCCTCCCTCCCTTCCCTCTTCCCCTAGCCTACTCAGCAGTGCACCCCTTGTTCCAGATTGTTGTAATACAAATAATGCCTAATCATCTGTTCCTTCTGGACACTTCTTCCCCTCATTATTCTATTACAGTGTTCGTTATATATGAACTCTTTTTCCATTCTCTGCCCACCCCACACCCTCCTGTCCTATTTTATTATTTTGTTATACAGTATTTGTCCTTTTGTGACTGAGATATTTCACTCAGCATAAATCTGCATAATATTGTAGGAATGTACCATGCTTTCCTATCCATTCATTTGTTGTTGGGAATTTTGGTTGCTTAAATTTCTTTGCTATTGTGAATAATGCAACAATAAACATGAGTATGCATATGAGTTTGAGTCATGGTTCTTGTTTCTTTAGGATGTATTCCCATAGTGGAATTGCTGAGTCAAATGGTATGTCTGTTTCCAGCTTTTTAAGAAAGTGCTTGACCACTTTCCATAATATCTGTACCATTTTGCACTGCCACCAGCAGTGACTAGGAGTTCCAATTTCTCCACAACCTTGCCAGCATTTG